TACCTCATGGAGTATGTCTAAATCCCGATCGGTTTGCTTTGGCTAAGTGCCAGATTGAAGCATACCCAGTGTTATCCAAATATCAAGGCAAGATATCTCCAGGTCACCCAGCTGTTTACATGTGGGTTCAGACATATTCCAAACATTAATCTTCTGTATATTGTTGAACTAATTGATATTGATTAACGCTGGACATAGCGATATCCCTGCTATACAACGGCGGTCTGTAGAAAGTCGAGTCCTCACCAGGCAAAACCTTGATGTAATAAACCACGATCCACTCAGATATTCAAATGATAGATAAAACGTTTAACCCGAAACCTTCACTGAGTTGATAACCATTTCAGTTAACAAGTGAGAGGATGATTCCCACTTGAGACCATTAAGTCGCAGTTAAGAACTATGGGGACCGGTGTCTTCTGTTGACAAAGTCGAATGTCGCAGGGGTTGGAGTCATCCCACGGATGACATGACATCTTTACTCTGACGTAGTCAACCTCTGTGGTCATGTACACCAAGTGTCCGACCTCACACCAGAGACCCCAGGGCCTAGATTTCCTAAGCTCTCTTAGCGCTAAGATAGTCGTAAGTTAATGTTAATGTATGGCACTTACGACTATCTTAGCGCTAAGAGAGCTTCGAAAATCTAGGCCCTGGTTCGTATTCCACTACGGAACTCGAACATTTAGGGCCGTTAGATGTATCAGGGAAGTTGAAGCATTCACATAGTAAGCCTCAAACGAATTCGTCATTGTACTACTGTCGATGGTTACTCCAAGCCCGTCTCTGGACGCACCAATGAGGTGAGTTAACAACAATGATAACAGAGGCAGTATGGAAGGCAGTCGAAGAGTGGGGTTTTATGGCATTCTGCGATGTCAAAGCGTTTATAGGAGGGGGGTGGGGGTTATATACATATCTTATTAAGTAACAAACAAACAAACACATACAAACACAGACACAGATCTACACAGAGAGAGAAAGAGACAGAGAGACAGACAGACATACACGCACGCACGCACGTGCGCGCACGCGTGTGTATATATGTTACGTATATACATTGATATTGATGCAAAGTCGTATATTACCATTTCATAATCATGGTTTATAGCCATTAACAGTCATTCTATTTTGTTTCATTTTTACCGTGGTTGGTTCTGTAGTTTTCTTACTTTTTTGTTTTATAGTGAGAAGGTTAAAATCTACCACAACTGAAGAAAAAGGAAAAAAGAAAAAAGTCATTTGTTTACTGCGTGTTGAGAATATAAAACCGAGTTGACGTTTAACAGAGCGTATAGCTATCGGTGGTGGCCAACATATTCCAGTTGGATTAACATTGTCTGTTACACAACTGCTAACATCTCATCTTTATTCTCAAAACCCACCAACGGTGGTACATGAGACAAATAAATGCAAATAGATATAATAAATGCCAAGATAGCAGGGATGTACAAAGTGACATCGACATCATTTATAATATATATACAAAGATATATAATAACTAATTTAAAGAGCGTAAATGTTACAAATTAGATTTTATTTGGAGCTTTTTTGGAAACAGTTCTAATATATTTTGCTAAGTTACGTAAAGTGTTTGTTCTTTTGGATTTGAAAAGGTTCGCCATTTTTGAGAGATTCGGCCATTGTAGAAATTGATTTGGGATAAAAATGGATCTTTCGGAAATGAAGGCTTCACATTTAAAAAAGATAATGGAACTAATCTGCAACTGCTGGTGAGTTGCAGAGAGGGCAAAGTCGCTCTTCTCTGGGTACTCCACTCCAGCGGCCAGTCTAAACCGGTAGGTTATGGTTTGATGTTCGGAATATCACAAGTTACTGTGATATAGCTTTAGGAAGGAGAAGATGTATTTCAAAATCTGGGAGTGTTTGTACCATCGATAATAGATACCTTTTGGGCTTGCCATGATATTTTCTCCCCAATTGTGAATAAACTGATCTTTAAGGATTCGTTCAACATTTGATACTAACCATGGAGTGGAATACCCAAGTGGATTGTTTAGAACATGACTTAGTCCAAGATTATTTAGGATACACCTGATGGAATTGAGACAGGGATAATCGTTACAATTGACTTGAGAGTCCAGTGTGATAAAATTATAAATTACCTAGGCTAATTTATTACATCATTTGGAAGATTCAACTTATGCCAGAATGCTATCATACGTTTGTATCTCTTAATACATAACGGCTGTCTTCCACATTCGCCATATACTATAAAACATGGAGTAGAGTTTCTTAAAAATGCAGATAGTTTAAGAAATTTAAGATAAACCCGTTAGTCAAGATTTTCAAAACCCCATACCTCTGAGCCATATGTTAGGATAGGAACAACTAAAGTATCAAATAATGCTAATACCCTATAGCTAACCAAAGGTATGTTAAGGCTACGGGTTTTCTTGAGTAGTATATACATTGCTCTTAGTGCATTATCACACAATGTTTTTATTCCGCTTTTAAATCGTCTATTTCTATGCACATTAATCAACTATTTCTAAAAGTTTCTTACCGTAAAAGAATTTTAGTTTTGAGGATTTGGCTGTTCCTCCTCCAAATATGAGTATGTTAGTTTTACTGATATTCACATTCAGCTTCATCGAAGTTGAGTAATCACAAAAAGCATTAAGTGACTTTTGTAAGCCTTCTGGTGTAACCTACAAAAATAGCTGTGTCATCAACGTAAAGTAATACAATGAATGGTAGCCACATAATGATATCGGAGATATCTGAGCACTTGATGTCGACACTTACCCCTGCACAACCGTTTGATAACAAATATGATTCCAAATCATTTAAGAATAATAGAGAACAGCAGCGGAGAAAGGTTCTCTCCTTGTCTTACTCCGTTGAGGCATGGGAATTAATCCGAACAAGAATTATTTACCTGAACTTGAGTTTTGATATCTTTATACATGTTTATTATTAATGTAAGGATTTTACCTTTAATACCTTTACCTTGTTCTGCATTTTTGACCATAATCCTACTCTCCAAACTGTATCAAAAGCCTTGGAGAAATCAATGAAAGCACAATACAATTTTCTTTCGTTAACTTTAGGAACTGCGTAAGTAAATAGAGAACACATACGTTGTCGGCCGTCATGAAATGTTTACGAAATCCAGCTTAGGCAGGGGATAAAATCGCGTTTTTGTCAAGAAAGTTTGAAAGTGGCGTATTAAGTATTCGTGTGAACAGTTTCCCTAAGCAGCTTAAAATAGTGATAGGTCTATAATTGTGATAGGTCTATAATTGTGATAGGTCTATAATTGTGATAGGTCTATAATTGTGATAGGTCAATAATTGTGATAGGTCTATAATTGTGATAGGTCTATAATTGTGATAGGTCTATAATTGTGATAGGTCTATAATTGTGATAGGTCTATAATTGTGATAGGTCTATAATTGTGATAGGTCTATAATTGTGATAGGTCTATAATTGTGATAGGTCTATAATTGTGATAGGTCTATAATTGCTTGGACCTTTGGTATCACCTTTATTTTTATATATAGGCTTAGTGATGCCAATAAGCTAACACTAGCATGTTGGCACTGTATCATGTGGTCACATTTAAAGTTATCACTGCTTTATTCTATCAAATGGTAATACGTACGAACAAATGATCTTATATAGAGAATAATAGAATGTTATTTTTCTAGGCTTATATAGCAGAACACATTTGAAAACCGTTGAATAAATATCCCAAACAATAAAAACAATAATGAGACTATCATTTCATGATGATAAAAGAAATGTTGCTTTATCTATGTGTAGGATTTCACATTCTTGAAGACTGAAATAATAAAAGCAGCATTTTAAGTATATCTTTTGTAGCTTAAAATACTTGACAAATATATGTATATACATGCCTTACACTGTAATGAAATGGGGGAGGATAAGTGTATGTTGATGTTATCATCAGCATGCATTTTCTTCACTCTTTAACATGTTTATAAATTTCTAGTTTTGAAATGCTTATTTATTTTTCATCTAGTTTATAAATGAATGACCAGTTCCTTATTCGTATCATTTCCGTTTATGTTTCAAAATATAAGCTGGAAATATTGAAGATTATACTTAGACCCATAACTCAGTAGTTTGAGCAATTTTTAAAAAAGCATGTTGAAGTTGCTTTGGGTTTGTTTGTTTTTTAAATGATTCGTCTTCGTCCCTTCATACAGTGGGTGGCCATAAATGAGTCATCATTAGTGAAATTCCCATAGACTTGCATGTTAATTAACTCTTGCAAGAATAATTTTCATAAATTTAGTTTCGGTCGAATTGCTTTCAATACTTTTCTACCAGCTGGGAAATCATCTCAGCTACATATCCATAATTTCCATTCAATTTTCCGATGATTGTTAAGAAAACTACAACTATTTAAACAACACATATTAGACATACCAATCAGGTTCAACATGGCTGTCTATGGGATAGATTAAAATTAAGTTGTACTTATGGTGCTTAATCAGATGTCATTCGATAACTAATCAACAGAAAGATGAAAGAAAATTATGTACACGTAGCTGAAGATGATTTCCAAGATGTTTGCAATATATCAAAATGAAATGACATCTACTCAATTTATGAAAACTATTCATGCAACAGTTATATAACATGTAAGTCTATGGAAATTTCACTAATGATGACTCACTTATGGCCACGTACTGTTCATATGTACCGACAGTCACCACTTGACTTAATCTTCAGGCTTATCACTTTAAATTTTCACATTGCGTAATTGATCCCGTGAGTGTTTTCAGCTTTCACCTATTCCAAATTTAAACTTTTCTTGAGGAAATATACAGATTCGAATACAGATTGTAAGCTTTCCAAAACTGCACATACATATTTTAAGCGGCAAGCAATTTTGTTTAATGCTTACCTCCCTTTACAATTAGTTGGAGTATCTCGACTATGTCCGTTAGCTCTCGTTTCGAGTTCAACATTTCCGAGATAAACATGAAAGATACAGTCTGAACTGATAACTGTAACCGGAAGCTTTAGAGGGCGCTGGCTGCTAGCAGTGCGCGAAAGAAGAAGAATCATTTGGCACTGGTACAAAAATCAAAATAAACGGTTAACGAAAGTGGTTATTGCTTATATTATCCATTTTACCTGACGACTATAAACCGTGTACGTCCTTCTATGGACCACAGAGCTAGAAAAAGGATTAGAGAAGCGAAATCGAGAGCGAGACCAGGTACGGTAGCGTTGCCATGTTATGATTTTGAAATCAAATGTCACACGTTTTCTATCTTAGTGAGCTTTAAGTAGGTTACTACACACTAGTACACAGTCTATACGTTATTTTCCAGGTACATTCTACACTAAATTATTGCAGACCAATTAATTACGTATATTAACGCACAATAGGGGACATACTATCTTTCGAGTGATTTCACACTCACAGAGAATACGATGGGCGAATTTTGTCTACGTGACCAAACGCATGCGTGGATTAGCCTACAGTGAAAGTGACTAAAGATTTTGATAAAGTTTACATATATCTTGGAGGCATTAGCTTGCATGGCTACCGCCATTGTATATGTCTGATACAATGTTTTTTAGAAACTAGGAACAAGCTGTACACGTTTTTCACATACGAAATGAGATAAATTAAGAAATGCTCAATTATATTGAAAAACATATGAAAAATACCCAATTGGCCTTATGCTTATCTAGAGCTTTGTGAGAATAGGATACCATTAGTTATTATGAAATAGATTGTATGTATACACTTTCAGCTTCATTTAAAATATGAATTTATTGTTCTAGAGCTAAGCAGTGAAAAGAATGGCTGGTACAAATACAACTTCTGCAACAATTTTGACTTGAGCCTCTCACAAGTCAAAGACAATGTGATTCGTGTTGATGTTTCCAAAGTTAGCCATGCAGAATTTGTGGAAAAATACGAGAAGACCTATGTCCCAGTGGTCCTCACAGGAGCACAGAGCAGCTGGGATTCTGAGAAGAAATGGTCCCTTGAGGTTCGTTCAGTGAATGGATTTTTACTATGTTGACAGAAAAAAGCCAAGAGTTAGTCTTGAGTGTTTGTTTCAGCATGGTGTCATGATCTGAGTATGCTGAGTAGTCAGATTATCTTGATGTATTTGTTCCAGCGATTGTCAAAGAAATATCGCAACCAGCGGTTCAAGTGTGGCGAGGATGATGAGGGCTATTCCGTGAAACTGAAGATGAAGTATTTTGTAGATTATATGAAGAACAATACAGATGATAGCCCACTGTACATATTTGACAGTAGCTATGGAGAGGTAAGTTGTTACTGAAGGCCTCATTATCTCTGTAATGCCTTTTGCAGGGGGCACCAAAATAGATTCCTTCCATCCGTGCGTCCATCTGTGCAAGATGTTGATTATGGAGCAGATTTTGAATAAGTATTTCTTCACCGCATTTTGCACACAAATTGGTCTACAGGTCAAGTCCCTTGGCGTCAGCTTTGACTTGATGAAAATTACTGTAGTATTCATTTCCTTGAACATGTTGAAAATTGTACAGTATTTCTCAACAAAGCTTGGCATAGTGATAGGTCAGTGGGATTTTTTAAACAGTTTATATATTGAGTGTTCATGGCAAGAAGCCTCATATGTTTGTCATATATATTGACTATTGCTGGGGAGCTAGATGACTGGGTGTGTGGGAGCTTGATGGCTGGGTGTCTGGGGAGCTAGATGGCTGGGTATCTTGGGAGCTTGATGGCTGGGTGTCTGGGGAGCTAGATGGCTGGGTGTGTGGGATCTTGATGGCTGGGTGTCTGGGGAGCTAGATGGCTGGGTGTCTTGGGAGCTTGGTGGCTGGGTATCTGGGGAGCTAGATGGCTGGGTGTCTTGGGAGCTTGATGGCTGGGTGCCTGGGGAGCTGGATGACTGGGTGTCTTGGGAGCTTGATGGCTGGGTGCCTGGGGAGCTTGATGGCTGGGTGTCTGGGGAGCTGGATGGCTGGGTGTCTTGGGAGCTTGATGGCTGGGTGTCTTGGGAGCTTGATGGCCGGGTGTCTGGGGAGCTAGATGGCCGGGTGTGTGGGATCTTGATGGCTGGGTGTCTGGGGAGCTAGATGGCCGGGTGTGTGGGATCTTGATGGCTGGGTGTCTTGGGAGCTTGATGGCTGGGTGTCTGGGGAGCTGGATGGCCAGGTGTCTGGGGAGCTTGGTGTCTGGGGAGCTAGGTGGCCGGGTGTGTGGGATCTTGATGGCTGGGTGTCTGGGGGGCTAGATGGCTAGATGGCGGGTGTGTGGGATCTTGATGGCTGGGTGTCTGAGGGGAGCTAGATGGCCGGGTGTGTGGGAGCTTGATGGCTGGGTGTCTGGGGAGCTAGATGGCCAGGTTTTTAGGGAGCTAGATGGCCAGGTGTTAGGGGAGCTAGATGGCCGGGTGACTGGGGAGCTAGATGGGATGGGTGTCTGGGGAGCTAGATGGCTGAGTGTCTAGGGAGCTAGATGGCCGGGTGTTAGGGGAGCTAGATGGCCAGGTGTTAGGGGAGCTAGATGGCCGGGTGTCTGGGGAGCTAGATGGGATGGGTGTCTGGGGAGCTAGATGGCTGAGTGTCTAGGGAGCTAGATGGCCGGGTGTTAGGGGAGCTAGATGGGATGGGTGTCTGGGGAGCTAGATGGGATGGGTGTCTGGGGAGCTAGATGGGATGGGTGTCTGGGGAGCTAGATGGGATGGGTGTCTGGGGAGCTAGATGGGATGGGTGTCTGGGGAGCTAGATGGCCGGGTGTTAGGGGAGCTAGATGGCCGGGTGTCTGGGGAGCTAGATGACCGGGTGCCTTTTGGAGCTTGATGGCCGGGTGTCTGGGGAGCTGGATGGCCGGGTGTCTTGGGAGCTAGATGGCCGGGTGTCTGGGGAGCGAGATGGCCGGGTGTCTGGGGAGCTAGATGGCCGGGTGTCTGGGGAGCTAGATGGCTGGGTGTCTGGGGAGCAGTTCAATGTCAGTGACAATAACACACTTATTGTTGTACTTGCCCCTCAGTCCCCACTGCACTGTTTCAGCACCCCAAGAGAAAGCGACTTTTAGAGGATTATCAGGTGCCCAACTATTTCAGTGATGACCTGTTCAGTTATGCTGGTGAATCTCGAAGACCACCATACAGGTAAATACACAATGTAGTGTTTGTGTTTACAGCATCATATGTGCAAACTATTTTGAATAATACCAAGATGCAAAAATACAAACCTACTGTGTTAGAAATTCTGTTTCATTTTGGATAATATTTACTTCATCACACATTATTTATTTAGTTTGAAGCTTTTTTTTGCGTCCCAAAAGTCAAAGGACAGTTATGCATCTGATCACATTTCTTATCCATGTCTGGTATATTATGTCATTGCTTTAGGAAATGGAAATATGAATCTTTGTCTGGTCCAGGTTATTTCCTGACCGCCGCCATATAGGTGGAATATTGCTGAGTGCAGCGTTAAACAACAAAGCAACCAACCAAGGAAATATGAACCTAAGATAATCTCCTGATAAGCTGCATGTCAGCGTAAATTACGTAATATTAATGTCCAAAGCTCAGCTATTTTCAATTTTAGTGCATACATCTATTACATGTGCGGTTACATTTTTATGAAAACCAATTTGCCTTAAAACAGCATGTGTAACTGCTCAATGAGGATTTTAAGCTTGCCTACTGATGAAAGTATATTTCTTGAAGAAAAAAGTATGAGAGAGTTTGTGTTGGTCCATAGATGTTTTGCAGAATTTCCCAATTGGTGAAACATAAAAAGTGGTGTTGTCTTGGGTTGTTGGCAAATTACTGTAATGGAATATGGTACACCTTGAAGAAACAAGTGGCTGCAGTGAAGCTGTGAGTACAGCAGAGTTGGTAATTCCACTGTTACATTGGTGCATCTTAGTGACCTTTGCGTGATAAACCTAATAGACAGTGTTTCAGGTTTGGTGCTGCTTACACACTGCTGGCTGCTTCCTTGTTTCAGGTGGTTTGTAATGGGCCCTGGGAGATCAGGAACCGGTATCCACATAGATCCCTTGGGAACCAGCGCTTGGAATGCCCTTGTGAATGGATACAAGAGGTAATTAGCACAGCTCTTGCCATACCTGTCCCAACTGAACATGCTGAAAGTTCAAGTAAGCAGATTACATGGTAATCAGTGAGAGCTTATGACTTTCGGCTTTTGTTTGTGAGCTTTTCACGTTAAATTCTCATTGACCAAAGTTCCTGGAATGATCGGTGTGACATTTTCAGTATACTTTCATCACTGTTCACATCCACAGCTTAAACACAGTAGGGGGATTGTAGTCGCGTGTACAACTAATCATCTGTCAGTATGATGAGGCCTGAAAGAAAATGTTGTGGTTCCGATCACCCGACTGACCCTTGAATTTTGGTGCCGACCCTATATTTTTTAAGCAGACTGAATAAAATAAGCTTTCAGATACCATTGTTTTTTCCTGGCACCGACAGATATCGGTCATTCTGATAGAGAAAGTCGACATGATGGCCGCAAGCTTGATTGAATAAACAATTACACATTGATACATGTGTTTTCCTTCTAAAAAAAATATCCCCCCCTCCCCAAATAAATTCCTACCTACCTACCTACCCTAAAATTTAAAGAGGTGTAATCGGAACCACAATGTTTGTTTTATTTGGCCTGACAGGTTTGTCAGCAGTGTATTCATGCCAATAGGTTTGAAGATATTAAGATCCAGAGCCTGCACTTTTCTCTTGCAACAAGATGACACTGTGATATAACTGAAATGCTGTTCATAGTGGCATAGCTCACTTACTCAAAAAGGGAGGTATTTAATTGGAAATAGCCATTACCACATCATCAATTCTTTTTCAGAAGAAGTCCTCCTTGGGGTACATGTAAGCATTAAAATGTCCATTTTAAAAACCTACGACAGTTGTAACAATATTTCAATAAAATATTTTACCAAACAAAAAACTCGTTATGTTTAGTGAGACCACCCCTACAGGGCCCCGCACAGGGCCCCCTACAGCCAAGAGCAGGTAACTCTGGCTGCGTACCTCCTACCTCACTTTTCATGCTGTCGTTGACCTATTCGGTCGTGCATGGTCCAGAGAAGACATGTCTTCGCGATACTACGATTGAGAATGAGTGAGAAAGAGTCAAATCCTGTATGTATGGTTCCTTCTTTTTCGCACGGGCGCTAGCTGGAATCTTCGTATGACTTTTTTCATTCATGATTTGTTGTAACCTTGCTGGCGTGTTCGCTGTCTCCAGCCATATGGCAGGCAAGATGGCGGACCGCGGGGTTCTTTTTGCTATCCCTTCTGCTGACTTCCATAGCCTTGTAGTCGGGTTGTAAGGGTGCTGATATTTCATTATGTAGATTATGCTTGCCTAAATTCCTCTTTTTCAGCGGGTTTTTGGCAAGTTTTGCTTGAGTGATTTTGTGGCGTGTTCGTTTTCGTGTCCCTCACATATGTTGCTCTTTGTCAGCTATGTACACAATTACGCTTCGCTATTGTGGCTTCATGCTAGTATTTAATAGCTTTGCTGTAGCAGTTAAATATCGCCCGTGCGTTGTATTTTTTCTGTTTTTATTGTGTGCATATTACATTATATCAAACAGTTCTTGCTATTAGTCATAGCGCGGTTCTGTTTTTTGCAGCCCAAGGGGTGTGTTACCTGTAGCGCTACATTATCGCCTCAGGATCGACACCTTATATTTTTGCGTTGTTTGGCGGAGGAAGCCCATGATGAACAAGGCTGTACCATGTGTCAGGCTTTCTCCCCGCGTACTAGCAAGTCCAGACGTGCGGATATGATGTTTTACACGTCTTTACTTCAGGCAGGGGGGTGGGGACAGGATCCTCCCAAGGTATAAGATAAAAAGCCTAAGAAAAAGAAGGCTTCTGCTTCGTCTGTATCGGGGGATACTGCTCCTAAACGGGCGAAGGGTGCAGGGTCTTCGGTCCCTTCACCATCCATCCCCTCCACATCGCAGGCACCTTCACCTCCTCATGTCCCAGTTTCAAACACACTAACCTTTGAATTAATTTCTGATTTATTACAGCAGCAAATGGTTTCGGTTCACTCTCTTGTGTCTGACGCGATGGCCGGTCCCCGTCAGGAGATTAGCGTCCAGCCAGGTACGGGGGGGTGTTCCGGATCTATGGCGGGCAGTGTCCCAAACCTTAGCTTAGGCTCTGGTGTGGAGATTTCTGTCGGGGGTGTGTCGGCTCCGAGTCTCGTCTCGGTTGCCGGCCACCCCTCCGCTGTAGTGACTACCACCAGCCCAAGCCTTGGCTCTGGGACTGGTTCAGTAGTTGGTACCGGTTTTACAGGCTCAGTCCCTGTAGTCTCCGCTACATCATTGCATTTGGTCCCACCGCATGCGCCGGCTTTGCCGGGCCATTCGGTGTCGGAACCATTATGCTTGCCATTGGGGAATCCCTGCTCGGGCTCTTCCTCGTCACGCCACCGCGACTCAGTTTCGAGTCTTTGGTCGGGTGTGCCGGGCAACTTGGCTCTGCTCGAGCCTCTGTCCCTCTCTGTAGACCCCTCGGATGATCCCTCGGAGGATTGGTTTCGAGGAGGCTATGGAGGAGGATGAGGGTCGGGGAGGGTTCAGCCCCGGCTTCCCAGCTATAATTCCTCCGGAGCCCTTGTTGGTACCAGATCAAGCAGTCGGAGTACTGCCGACGTCGGGTATCCATTGTCTCATGCCACATATCCCTGTGGGTGGTCGACTTTCTCTCTTCCTGTTGGAATGGAAAAAGTCACTTCCAATCCCTGGGTCCTGTCCACGCTCAGGGAAGGCCACATGCCACAGTGGAAGCGAGACCCACCCCCCTTCTCCGGGATCCGTTGCACTCCAGTGCCGGCTGCCCTAGAGAAGGCAGAGGTGCTCCGTGCCGAGGTGCAGTCATTACTGGACAAGGCAGCCATAGAGGTGGTTCCAGTGGGACAGGAAATGGTGGGTTATTACTCAACTTATTTCCTTGTCACCAAAAAGGACGGAGGGTTCAGACCTATTCTAAACCTCAAAGGTCTGAACGACATGTTAGAGGTACCGTCCTTCAAGATGGAAACACTGTGTTCAGTGATTTCATCTGAGGAGAAGGGAGATTGGCTCACGTCAATCGACCTCAAAGACGCGTACTTCCATGTCCAAATGCATCCCGAGTTCAGGAAATACCTAAGGTTTTCCTTCGACAGGAGGTGCTATCAGTTTCGTGTATCTTCATGGCGCGCCAAGGGTGTTCACCAAACTCATGCTAATTCCAGCGCATGTAGCCAGGTCACAGGGCAGGTGCTGTCACCCGTACCTAGACTATTGGCTCCTTCGTGCGCTTGCCACTCACTTGAGTCGAGTTGCGACACTTTCTGTGATGAGTATACTCACCAAGTTGGGCTGGATTATCAATCTCAAGTAATCAGAACTGGTTCCCACCCAGGATCTGGTGTTCTTGGGAGCGAGATTCGAGACAGCGTGAGGGGTAGTCTCCCTGTCTCCGGACCGCGTCACCAAAGTCCAGAGAGTTGTGTTACAATTTCTCGAGTCCCCCAGGGCCTCAGCTCGGACTTGGCTCCAGTTGCTAGGCAACATGGCTGCAACAGTGGACATTGTTTGGCGAGCGCGGTTGAGGATGCGACCCATACAGCAGGCTCTAGCTCGAATGTGGGTCCACACCCGGGGTTACGAGTTGATTCTCCACACTCCGGGGTGGCTAATTCCTCATTTACGGTGGTGGACACTGGCAGGGAATTTATCCAGGGGGCTCCCCTTGGACATCCCATCGCCAGATCTCTCGATTCAGACAGACGCCTCCCTCACAGGGTGGGGGTGTGTGCTGGGCGACCTGTCGGTCTCAAGCCTGTGGTCACAGAGCGAGAGGCGTGACTGCACATCAATGTGCTAGAATTGTGAGCAGTCAGGTTGGTGTTCGAACGACTTCGGGAGCAGGTTCGAGGCCGTGTGGTTCGTCTAGAGATGGACAACCAGACGGCGATGACCTATATCCTGAAGCAGGGCGGTACGGTTTCCCCGTCTCTCCTGCAGGAGGCGTGGCAGTTTTTGCTCTGGTGCGACCGGTTCGACATACGGGTGATGCCTGTTTATCTCCCAGGGGCGGACAACGTTCGAGCAGATGCACTATCTCGTCGTATCCTGGCCCCGGACGAGTGGATGCTCAATCGGGAGATATTCGGGGCTATTTCCCAGTTGTTCGGATCGTTCCAGGTGGATCTGTTTGCTGCTGGGGGGGACGAACCAGATTCCGGTGTTTTGCTCTTGGATACTGGATCCGAGAGCCATCGCCCTGGACGCTTTCCAGCTCGACTGGATTGGCAGGGTTCTGTGGGCGTTCCCACCACTACCCCTGATTCCCAAAGTCCTCTCGCAGCTTGCCACCCAACCAGCTCGACTTCTTGTGCTCCTTGCGCCTCTTTGGTCGGCTCAAAGCTGGTTTCCGGTACTACTCAGGTTTCTGGCTCAGCTTCCTGTACTATTACCCTTTCGACCGGACCTACTATCCCAGAACGGAGCGCCGCACCCGAATCCCAGGATTCAGTGGGTGGCCTGGCCTCTGTCCGGAATCACCTCCAAGCGAGCGGAATTCCTGCACCAGTTGCAGACACAATTCTGGCTTCGCGGAGGGATTCGACAAACGTTCAATATGAGGATAGATGGGCCTGTTATACGCGCTGGTGTGTCGGCAGAGGGATTCTTGATCCCTTTTCTTCAACTGTAGTTGAAGTACTGGAGTTCTTACAGTCTCGGTTAGAAGCCCGCTTAGCCACGTCTACTATCCGGGGCTACTCCACGGCAATCTCTGCCTTCCATATCCCTGCCGACGGTGCTCTCTTGGGGCAGCACCCTCTAGTGCAGCGCTTTTTAGCACCCGTGGGACTTGTCAATCGTTCTTGATTGGATGTCCGGTCCTCTCTTTCACGATCTGTCGTCTCTTTCACTCCAGCTGTTAAGTTGGAAGGCTGCCTTTCTTGTGGCGGTAACGTCTGGCAGGCTGGTAGGCAATATCCATGCAATGTCAGCGGATCCTGCTGTGACTGTCTTTCACAAAGACAGAGTCAGTATTCGGTTGCCAGACTCTTACCGTCCTAAGGTTGCAGGCGCCTTTCATGTAACGGCGCCTATTGAACTGCCAGCTTTCATTCAGCCTCCATCGTCCGGTACCTCTCTTCGACGTGCTCACGTCTTAGATGTCCGTAAGACTCTCAAGGCTTATATCAAACGAACGGCTGCTCTCAGGAAAGATGAGCAGCTGTTCTGTTGGTATGGCGGTGGTAAGGCTGGTCTTCCGGCGAACAAGCAGACCATATCTAGGTGGCTTGTCACTGCCATTTGTATGAGTTACTGTCACAAAGGGTTAACTATCCCTCAGGGGTTAAAGGCTCATTCGATTAGGGCAGTGGCGACATCTAAGGCATACGCCGCGGCACTGCCCATTGAGGAGATCTGCTCAGCGGCTATCTGGAGCCGACCGAGTACGTTCATCCGCCATTATCAACTGGACAAACACTCACGGGAGCGTGCTCGGTTTGGCCAGACAGTTCTCACCAGTGAGCAGTGTCGTGATTCTCTAGCCCAATGAGCCTTAGAAATCACGATTGGTTTTATCCTGGTGTTGGTATTATAAAATTCCTCAATTTTTATCGGTGGCGGTATCACATTGGTGGTGGTTTTTTACCGTTTTTTATTGACTATAGCGATTATCACACGCTATATTCACTGTTTTCATCCCTGCACCACGCTTCGCTGGTTTGGGTTTATGAATGGTATATCTTGGACTCGTCCATACATTCCTTCCCATTTTGATGGTTGGGGGGTGGGACTTATGTCCGTCATTACAAATTCCACCAATAGCCTATCGGCTAGGCTCCTTTTTCCCTGCCTTGCCACGCCCCCGCCTGATTGACATCGGCGGTCAGGTGACTAGGTAAGTGTATTTTCTCTCTCTGTCACGGCTTCGGCTGTGCCTTCGACTGAACTAGGGAGTATGTTAGCCAGACAGAATACCGCTCCCGACTCAACATCGTTGGGAATCTGTCTTATGCTTATATGTACCCCAAGGAGGACTTCTTCTGAAAAAGAATTATACAAACCTGTAGAGGTTATGAATTCTTTGAAGAAAAGTCCTCCTTGGGGTACGGCCGCCCACCTCCCCTCATGCTGTCAGACACGCTCAGCATGAAAAGTGAGGTACGAGGTACGAGTTACCTGCTCTTGGCTGTAGGGGGCCCTGTGCGGGGCCCTGTAGGGGTGGTCTCACTAAACATAACACGTTTTTTTGTTTGGTAAAATATTTTATTGAAATATTGTTTCAACTGGCGTAGGTTTTCCAATATGGACATTTTAATGCTTATATGTACCCCAGGGAGGACTTTTCTTCAAAGAATTCATAACCTCTACAGGTTTGTATAAATTTATTGAAAACACATTTAACATTTAGGTAGGATGTGGATATTTTGAGATGGTACTTGTGTCACTTGTGTAAAACACAACTCACACACAGTGGTATTTGTACCTTAAGATCAGTAATTATTTCCCAGATAGAGTAGGGTCGTGCATGAATAACATTTTAACACCTACATGAATCAATGGGGCTTCAAATGACAACACAGCTCCACCCAAATTTTACAATATGTTTCATAAACACAGTTAAAGCATGGAGAGTGGTGGAATATTTCTTGATTGATACCACCGTCTGTGTGGAATGTTAACATTTTGTAATTTGATTTCTCACGACAACGTTTAATATGTTTGTATATGCTTGGACTAGCTGAGACTGAAAACAGACTCTTTGTGCAGCTATTGTGAACTATACATTTTCTGCTTCCATAAATGCGTTATCCAACTTTGGACATGGTAACCGGTTTACACTGTTCATCTGCATACTATTTTACGATTTTTGTTCAAGTTTTACACATTCAAAGATGAACAAACTTACATTCTCGGCCAATCCTGTTCGTATCTGTCGTATTCATGCTTTTCAAGTTGGAGATGTTTCAGGAAGGAATGTTGATGTTTCCTTTGTTCAGATGGTGTCTGTTGCCAACTACAACCCCCGAAGGAGATGTTGAAGGTCAAGGCTGAAGAGGGAGGAAAGCAGCGTGATGAAGCCATCAGCTGGTTTACTCATGTCTACCCCAAAACTCAGAGTCCGTCCTGGCCAAAACACCTCAAACCGGTTGGTATTCAGTCAAAAGAGTTTCATTTAATCAAACATGTCAAAGATCTGATAGTATTGCTTGTTCAATGCCCTTATCAGTCTAAGTAAACTTTGGCTCAGTATTATTCGTTACACTGCAATACTGAGTCTTAACAAACCCTAGTAGAAGGTCGCGTCAGCTAACCTTTGAGCAACCTATGACCGTCCAATTAAACACGAAATGGCCGAACAGCAGCTATTTTATATAGCAGTGTAACAAACAATACTGAGCCTAAGTTTACTTAGACTGATGCCCTAATTTGCCAGATTTCACTGTACAGAGTTTCCTCCCCCTAGGTGTTCCAGCAGAAGGTTTACGTTCATGATTGCCCTGGTTATCATGCTTGGTTTGGCTCACACATCACATCATGATATGACTGAAATAATGATAACACCAACTAACTCAATCATTCAAATATTCTTTAACTGGGTTCAAGGATGTAAACTTGAAGTTAATATCTAAAGCAGGCTTGCTAAGTACAAGTGAATGAGTTCATATCAGAGTGATAACCATAGTGACAGTGTTTGTAGTGTTTCTTTGAAAATAATGAACAATTATGAAATTTGCCTAACTTTTATTTAACATTGAAAGTTCAGCAATGTGTTGTAATGTAGTTCCAGTCAAAAGCATAACATGACTCACAATGAAGTTAAGCTGTTTGTTATTGCTGGAGTTTTGTTGTCATGGAAGTATATATGTATATGTTGCAGCTAGAAATTCTCCAGCATCCAGGGGAAACGGTGTTTGTTCCTGGGGGGATGGTGGCATGTTGTCATTAACCTCACAGACACCATCGCTGTCACACAGAACTTCTGCAGTGTCACCAACTTCCCCGTAGTGTGGCATAAGACTGTACGTGGTAGACCCAAGCTGTCAAAGAAGTGGTACAAGGTACTCAAGGTAAGGAGCAGACTTGAGGGTTTTCAATGGCTGTACAGGAAGTAAAAGCATAATAAAAGTTGAAATACAATATTGTGTAATATTCTGAAACAAAATGAAGTGGATTAAAATATGCATATGTACTTTTGTTTCTTGGTGGTTTCTGAATGAAGGTAATAAAGAAATGAAGTTTTATAAAGCTGACATTGATTGAAGTGAAAATCCACGTATCAGCCATTTAGACTTAGAGTGGGTGGTGAATATTTACTTGTGCATTCTAATCTAATTGAGTAACAGCCCCACCAAGCAGATAAGGTGCTACCGTGTATAGTTTGTGATATATCTCATTCTTCTTTGCTGTTGTTGCTGTTGATCACTGTATTGTCTGGTCCAGTCTCGATTATTTACAGACTGCCGCCATATAGCTGGAATATTGATGAGTGCGGTGTAAAACTCCACTCACTCACTCACTCATTCCTTCACTCACTTGCTCGCTGTTGTGTATTATGAATTTTTGACGAAGTGTTGTATGTGTAGAGGGAGCGTCCTGAGTTGGCTGCTGTAGCCGATGCTGTAGACCTCAGGGAGCCCACAGGTTTCAACTCTGACAGCTCCAGCTCTGCCTCCAGCTCCAGCTCCAGTTCCAGCTCCGACAGTGACTCGGACTCCGACTGGGAAAACACCAGGAAGAGGTCAGTGAGGTTGATATGCAGTGACCATGCTTGTCTGGTATAGTTCATGGTTTGTTATGACTTTGCATTCATATCAAATCAGACTTGGACTGACTGGGAAAACACCAGGAAGAGGTCAGTGAGGTTGATATGCAGTGACCATCCCTGTCTGGCATAGTTCATGATTTGTTATAACTTTGCGTTCATATCATTTTTAGAGGCGAGTTCAAAGATGCTGCCTATCATCTGATAGACAACAGACAGTGTTATTATTGTCTAGTCACAGATGTAGCTTATGTTTAAAGTTAAAAGTGTAATTCTATGCAAACAGACACCAATTTCAGAACCATGACTGCAGTAGTAATGTGATGCCTGTAATACAAGTATATCACACATTGTTACCTTGTATTGAAGAACACGTCAAGAATTGACCAATGCAAGTAGATAGCTTGAGAAGTCTGAAACTTCTTTGTAGGTTTGAGAGACTTAGAGATGTTGCCTGATTGTTTTCATACAGTCTTAACATATGGAATACAAACATCTGACTTCAAGCAAAATGTATTTATCATAAAATCTGAATGGTTTTCGCTTTTTAACTTTAAAATTCACGTTTGAAACTCTAGACCCACTGGATGTGCTACAGGTGATATTTCAACACTATATATATGACATGTATGGTGGCATGACTCGTAGCAGTTACAGCATCTGTTATCAACACTGTTGATGTGAGTAACCTGATAAAGCTTATGTGATTGTACATGTAATACTAGTAAATTTGAAAAACTTCAATATGCTTTTACAAAATGTGCAACTTACCACAAAGTGTGAATTATTTTCAGACGCAAGGTCATGAGGTCAAGGTCTCTCACACCCAATGGAAGCAAGCAGCGCCATGCATCTCCACATCGCAGCAAGCGGAGGTCAAGTTCAAGTTCAAGGTCTTGTGATAGTCGTGAAAATGAACATTCACAGAGGAGCGTATCAAGCACCCCCAAGAACTCCAGATGACAGGGTTGACTACGATTAAATAACCTGGTGCTTGGTGACATCTGACCAGATAGTCAATGTCCTTGCTGCTAGCGTTAGGATTATATCGTAAACCACAGGGTTGGAAGAACTGCAATATTGTGTCTTTGGTGAATAACCTTTCTCTTTGAAGATACACTTTATCTAAATGTTATTTTTACGTCGTATGAATAACAAGTGTAAATAAACGTTTTTGGTATGCAAAAAACTGCAGGAAAAGTTTCCATGTAAAGTGCTTTGAGCATGTTGAGTACTTGGTGTAGTTCTATCACAGAAGTTATGTTTGTTTTTTGGTGAGAATGGTTTCATGGCAGACAAAGCTAAGGCAGTAAATACTTACTCGTTTTTCTTCTGGCTAGGTGTTGGCCTCTGTGTTTTTTAGTATCTGGTCACATTTTCCCAAAACCAAGAGAGTTAACTGACTATATCAGTTCAGTTTCCACCATTGCTAAACAGGTAGGAATTTGATTGAAGTGCCAGCAAAGACTTTTACAATATATTTCCATTTATATCCCTCCTGTTGACCAATCAGATTAACCTCTCATACCCCTTGTATTTGCTTCAAACAAAATGGAGATGTCCTGTTGAGACGATCGTAATAAAACAGCTTTTATCATACAGTGCTGCAGTTCACTTGAGCATGATTGAAACATTAAATATCCTCAAATGCTTTTCCAATCCTGTAATCGACCTTAGTCTACATAGCAGTCACTTGTTTCCAAGACCCATAAAGATGAGGGTTAGAATTGGTCTTCAGTATCCCATGCTTGTTGTAAGTGGCGACTAACAGGATCAGGTGGTCAGGCTCACTGACGTGGTTAACACATGTCTACAATTGTTTAGATCGATGCTCATACTGTTGATCACTGGATTGTCTGGTCCAAACTTGATTATTTACAGACCACCGCGAGAATATTGCTGAGTGCGGCGTTAAACAACTAACCAGTCAACCTTGTTTCTGGACTGGATTATGTAATTTGGTTTTTCAGTTTTTTGTGGCTTTAGAAAGTTTCCTGTGCTGATCAGGCTCATCCTCACAGATTCTACCCACAGTCTGTCTGACACATAACACATGGTCATAACACATACAATGCTTATCAAGCTAATTCAGGATGTTTTTTTCTCTTCGTAAAATCATAATTTGTTGCATGTGTTTTAGTTTTGATGTTAATTTCCATGTGCTCATTTCCAACTTTATTCCTCTTCATTGAAGCTGACCGCCATCCCAAGGCAATAACATTCCCAATGTGTTTGCTTAAGTGCGGTTATGTAGGTTTGTTTGTTACAAGTGGTCTACATTCAAAAGGGTAATATTGAAAGAGGTACATTTAGTGTTTTTCTGCATTTGTCCAGTTTTGGAAAACAACTTTTAAAATATAAGGTAGTGCATGAGTTCTGGAAATGTACGACTATTATTTGATTTAAACATTATTAGACATTCACTTGAGTATCACCTAGCTTTCTACACTTGCAAGGTTTCTACATCTGACATTACCAAATATATAAGTAATGCTTATATGAATGAAGAGGGCATCTGGGCAAAATGTAAGTGCATATATTTGATCGGACACCTGGTATCTGTAGATGTATGTCATGTATGTACTTCTGTATATGTAGATCAGTATGTCACCAAGAAACAGCATACTATTCATCAACCTCTGGTTACATTGTGTATTGTTTTTATGGTGTTTTAATTGTAGAAAATCAACAAGTGGGCAATCTGGGTGTGTTCATGTGTGTGCTGTTTATAGATTTGGGAGTTCAATGTGTAAGATATCTCAGTTTATTGAGATTTAAGAACAAATGTTGTGTAGATCTGTTACAGATATAAGTGAGCCAATATGATAGAAATGCTTGTTGGTATACATCACAATATTGACTTTCCCTCCACTGCAACCTGACTGTGATTGAGGTCACTGTCCGAATCCTGTCTTGTTTCACATCAACTAACTAACAAGTGTAGCTTTGCCTGATCTTGTTTCGTTTACAACCAGATGGTTGGTGTTTGATATTTCTGATAGCAAGAACAGTGGGCCATTATAGGGGTGTGTTTATATGGCATGGAGGTGTGAGGAGATTGCCCACAGTACCTGTGTATGGGCTGCAGAATAATTAACAGTAGGAATCTAAGCTATCTGTGTGTATCAGAGCAGATTTGCCTTTGTACTTTGCCACCACAGACTTTTAACCATCATGTGTATCAATTCTTATTTCTCTGACACAATTTTCCCCCCGGTACAATGCCAAAGAGTCATCTCTATAACTAATTGAAAGAAAGAACACTGATGCTCTTGTAGTGAGGTAAAGCGTTGTGTGATGTCACTCCCATTCCTATCGCCTCAACATTACAAAGGCTTTATATGTTTATCTGGGCTAGTGAAGCTTTAGTTTTGTGTGACCCTCATGTGGTCAGTGTAGTGGGATATCAGCAGGCTTCCTTTAGCCTAATTAGTGCAGCAATTACCTTCGTGTAGTTGTCTTCCATTGCAGCAGGACACAGCAATCTGTCCTCATTATCATCTGCTCATGTTTCAAACAGAGAAGTAAACCTCATTTGGCATTTTCCTCCAAATGTAAAGTAGATGGATGGTGATGTAACCAGATCACAGTTCAGCTTAAACTTACTCAATGCCAGAACTCACCTGTTCTTCTATGGATGGACTGACTTGCATGACTCTGAGACACCCAGTGGAGTGGCTAATGTTTCAACCAAGTCAGCAGGTTTTCCCCTCAGCTGCTCAAGATGTTGAGGAGTAATGTTGAATTTGTGTGCTGAAGATGTTATAGTGCTCCCAATGTAATATGCCGAGTGTGAAAGTGAATGAAGTGTTCTTTTACCGAACAGCTTACGAAGAGCCTGTACTTTTGACTTCCCATGCCTTGTTCTCTGTTCAGAAAGAATACTTTAGCTGTGCTATGTAAACCAAACTATTATGCAGGGATTACATTGTGAGTATATATTCAAGAATTATTGACTGTCAATAAAATGTTGATTTTCCAGTGTTTTAAATGCTGTCTGTGTTGTCTGTGAGAAAAGAATGTTTTCTGTGATAGACTCTGCTTTTCAGATGATTGTTGACCCCTGTGTTTAACTGCTAAAAACTGAAGTAACCCCAGCCTGAGACCGATGAAACTTCAAAGGTCAAAGGACTTAAGGCAACTGACAGTGTCATACATAAGCTGGACTGTCATTAGGAAATTTAGGGTCAGTAATGTACACATCACTCTTTTTCATTAATAATCGCAGGTATATTTTCCTTATCAAAGATGTACTCTGCACTAGAATAGCCAAATTTTGAGAATGACATTTATTTGGTCATGTTATGCGAGATGTGCCATTACATTTTAGTATGGCAAGCCCATGGATTCTTGGGACCTAACCTAATCTAGAACATGTCATTTGAAAGAAGGTTCGTCGTTAGTCTAGAATCAGTGCCAAATGTTGCTATGTTATCATTTGTGCATTGTTACTGTGCCTTTGACAGGAATAGAATCCAATAGAGGTTCGCTTTAAAATGGGTTCCCAGATACCTATACTTGCCTTCAGATGCAAGTAAACATCTGGGGGGAAAAGGTATGGCAACATCAGAATAGTTTCGGGATGGCAAGTGTATTATGCAAGTAAAATAGTGAAGAATGAAATGGACACTATTCCTCGACTGCTTCTGCGGCATCGCTAAAACACCTGAACGCGGTAAACGTTTGAAACGAAGCACGTGTATTCCATGCACCCAGAGTCTGATACAGTCACTCCAAACGGATCAGTTCAGCCCTAACTCACGACACACATTTCTGTGCACAAAGCAAATACATGAAATAGGCCCTCCACAGTTGTCAGCTGCAAACAGACGTCATGTAATCTATATGAAAAAGGGGGCATGTCACTCTCCCAATTTGAAGATGGTGTGAAGGATAGAAGGTAGACCTATCACATGTAACAGTGAAGACTGGCCTTCCTGAACCATAGGTTGGCACCTATTAGTGTTGTCGTTTTGAGGAATGGTCACCCATTCGACTGAAAGCAACAGGCCTTCGTGGAAGACGACTTGGTAAATGTACTTTGCTGACAAACAGATTGGAAGGTTGTTCGTCTGAAGTGGTGTATGGTGGAAGCTGGCATATTGGAGAAAGATGAACTAGGCGTTTGAGAGTTGATTTCTCCTCTTCATGACATTGTTTGCGACTGTGAGGCACAGCCAACACACGGGATCATAGTGGAGCAGGTTGGTCCCTGACGGTATGGGGATGCTTCTATGATTGTAAGTTGCCGCTGGTCAGTGTCAACGGCGCAAAGAACAAGAGAGTCATCTTTAAACATGTTCCACATTTTGATAACCATGGGGTTGGCAAGGCCCAGTGTAATGATGGCAATGTCAGACCGGGCAGAGCTTGTACGTGGTTATCGCCGCCAGGAAGCCCGACATGAACCCAATTGAGCACGTTAGAATCCGACAGACAACCTACGGTTCAAAACCTTGCTGAGTTTGTTGTTGCTTTTCACCAGGATTAGAGTCAACTGCCGGAGAACAAAACTTTAAAACTTTTCAATACTCTCCTTCCACTTTGCAGTATAGTCACATGCTTCGTTGACACATATCATTGTATCCTAATTGTGTAGATCGATGCTCATGCTGTTGATCACTGGATTATCTGGTCCAGATTCTATTATTTACAGATCGACGTGTGGCATACAACTAAACTCACTCACTGATATATGCACGCCAAAACATTTGACATAGCTATGACTAATGGACATATTCATTTACCATTTTGAAATTCCCCATGGCGCGTAAAGGGACGAACTGTCAGTCTGAGATGAAGCGGTGGTATAATATATATGTCTGAACCCGAATGACGATGTTTCTGACCCATGCACCCTTTTCTGGTAACATGTATTCAGTGTATGAAATAAGCCAAAAAAAACCAGCCAGAAATCAGGGCTGGTAACTTCAAAATGTACCAGCCCAAAATGAATTATAACCAGACCAAATATGGTGAATGTACTCAGATATATGGAACATCTACAAATTTTACCAGACCATCGGGCTGGCTAGCTGTCAATTTAGACCGTCAGTCAGAAATCTAGACCGTCTCGGGCTGTCGGACGGGCCTTATTTCATACACTGATGTATTCATGTCCCCTCAAATACAACCAGCACTTTGTCATGCCACACCCCACACCCCACCTACCCTCATTATGATATACCATTATACAGTTATGTTATATAGTAATGAACATGTCCTCCCGCCCTTCCACCTCCACACCTTCTACAGTTTCTCCTGGACCATATTTCTAACTATGAGATAGATAGATGTACTTTATTTCCTCCATAGCATATGAAGATAAATACAAGGTTCACAGGTACATTAAAACAAGTAAATCAATATGGTATTATATGGATATACAGTAATAGGTATGGTATTTACACATGTCAGGAATTATACACATTCATAGAAATATCGTTTCCACAACTTAATAGTTCTGCATATTCGACTTATGCACATTGACCATGTTTCATACTCGAGGGTCTTCGTGCACTGAGAAGGAAGACCCTCGAGTATAAAACAGAGTAAAATATCGTCATCATTATTCCAGAGGCTACTGAACGTTCCTACATCAAGAATGTCAATTAAGTCTTCAATCAGTCTGTCTCTTTCATACTGCGTTTCATTACAATAAAGAAATACATGTTTAACAATGTCATAGACAAACGTACCACAAAGACATTCATAAGACTGAATTGCGTAAGTGCTGATATGTAATAGTATTGAAAAAAGCATAGCTGTTGTATAGGGGTTGGAATAGCCCTAAAATGACGTCATCATCGAACACCTGGCTGACCTCATTTCACAGGGGTGTCCATGACCTTGTACTGAGCTGACCTTGGGATAAACCACTTTCCCAGGGGTATTTTTAGACTCAAGTGGGCAATATAAGGCCCCGGAACAGTCCCCATGTCATTCAGACTTCAGTCGCTAGAGAGAACACACGCATGCTCTTGACTCTATTGGTTCTGGTAGCCGTTTACCTCTTAGATAGAAAATGGAAGCCGTTCACCGTGATATCCTGAGGAAGAATCACTCCGGTCTAGTGCAAGCTATACAGTGTGTAGAAGAGGTGGTGGACAAACTGGTACAGTTTGAAGTCCTTACCATCCTCATGAAGGCAGAGATTATCGAAAAACCACAGACGTCCTTCGATCGGGTCAGAGAATTGTTAGATATGCTTCCCCGACGGGGACCCCAAGCTTACTCTCTCTTCTGCAAAGCGTTGATGGAATGTAGGGAGACACAAGCCATGACATTGCTGGGACTAGAGACAGACAGGACAGAGTATCCTCATGGTCATGATGATCTAGGTGGGTACCTATGTATGGACAGTATCCCTCTCAGACCTCGAACACAGTTCCAAGAACGGCTGAATTCCTTTCAGTCTTGGCCTGTGCAGATGAAACAGAGTCCTAGTCAAATGGCCCGGGCAGGATTTGTGTACTTAATCAGAGGGGACGCTTGCAAGTGTGTTCAATGTGGTGTAGTTCTCAAGAACTGGAACGTAGAGGATGATCCTTGGGTCGAACATGAAAAATGGTCTCCAAACTGTCCGTATTTGGCCCTGGTAGGAGTACCTCAGAAAGAGGTGGTCCGTTGGGGTAGTCATGTAGATTTACATGTGTAAGAGTGTGATGTTCATTGTACAATACTGTGTGTATTTGTGACTATTTGAGAATAAATCAATTTTGGTTGTCATTGGTTGATGTGGTGTATAAAAGTCCTAACAAAAGGTAGGTGAAGGGAGAGCAGAGTGGCACAGTGGAAGCGCACTGGGCTCATAACCCAGAGGACCGTGGATCGAAACCACGCTCTGCTAACAACATGTTTTTAGGAGTTAGAATTAGGGCTAGCAGACATCTATATAAAGGACAGAAACGGTGATTTAGCTTCATTTAGCCGTGGACCCGTGATAGTGACACTTCATCTGAAACCTCTGTGTGAGAGTCAGTATACATTCTGAACAAGAAAATGAACAGAAGATACTGGAGACCCTATTTGGACGATCCTGCAGGCTAAAGGATATCCCAATCCCTTTACTAACGTGGATGATTATGTGATCTATTATGAGAAACAAGGCGTCAAGATGGACCTACCCCCTTCTACAGACAAGTTTGCACTCACGTCTCCAACCCAACAAGTCGTTCAACAGGCCAAAGCACGTATTCAGATGCAGGAGAACGGGGAAACTGAAGCCAAAATAATGACTTCCTCCCAGAGTCGCACAAAGAAACGGAAGACGACTTTTTAGATAAAAGCAGCTAGTAGACAGGTTCCCTGCTATTTAGACTCGGACAACCATGCAGTCAGCAAAGTGTCCCGTGTGCTATCAGACGTTTTGCAGGACAGACAATATGTTGAGACATAGAAGACAGAAACATCAACAACTCCCTCCTCCTCCTCCTCCTCCTCCACGACCACATCAACAACTCTCTCCTCTTCCTCCTCCTCCTCCTCCTCCTCCTCCTCCACCACAGCAGCAGCAGCAGCAACCAGTGCAACCACATTCATCAGAAAGAACTACCCAGTCATTGGAAGAATGTAGGCTGCAACATCACTTCACCATGATCGTCTCAGGGCCCACCTCCTGTGGCAAAACCTACTTAGTGAAACAGCTTCTAGAAAGGATGAACATTAAACCTTATCCTGAACGTATTATATGGCTCTACAAACGATGGCAGCCCTTGTATAATGCCATTCAAACCCATGTTTATCCCTATTTGGAATTTCATCAAGGCATTCCTTCTGATCTCGAAAAGGATGCCTTTCTGGACCCCCATGTGGTGAATGTGGTGATCCTCGACGACTTAATGTCGACAGCGAGCAAAGACCCACGCATTACAGATCTGTTTACGGAAGGAAGTCATCATCGTAATCTCTCAGTGATAGCCTTGAACCAGAATTTGTGTTTCAGTAAGGATCCCACACAACGAAGAAACTGCCATTATCTGCTTCTGTTCA